AGGTCTGGTCCTCTCTTGTTATAATACCACAGTTCCCAGGTCGCCTTGGGATCACCCTGGGAAGCAGCCAACACTCCACATGCACTGCGTGACTGAGCTGCACATTTGGTAGCTTAGGTGGATTCAGTTCATTTTTGACTCACAATGTTTTCAACTTAATGATGATTTTATTGGGACCTAACTGCATTGTAAGTCAAGGAGCATCTGCAGCTATAGAATCTAATTCCCATTTTTAATGAGTGATAGAATATAAAACAGTATGTCATAGTGGAAACCTTTTCTACTAAGAACCTAGACGTCGGTTCTATTCCCACATGGACTGTGTGACCAATATTCTATTTCTTTATGACATAAGAGATTCACTAGTTTATCATCAGAGATCTTTCAAAAGCTGAAATTCTATGACTCTCTGTTAGCTATAATTCTATTTCAAACGACTACTGGCCATAAGCTTATGACATGGGATGCCTTCTAAGGCTGTTGGATCAGCAGGAGACCTGTCACAACTCCTGGAAATGGCTCCTGAGAGGGTGCTATTGGGTAAGCTGTGATAGCCTGATGGAGCAGAGCCCATGCCAGGCTCTTGCTTACTGCTGGGCCTGAGGGTTTGTCCAGCTACAAACTTTCAACCATAAGGGGAATAAGGTGGCCTGTTCTGACACATACATATTTTTGTTTGGTAACTCAAATTTCTTCAGAAAGAGGACATATACTTATTTTATTGTCAAATCTCTTTTGAGTTCTCACCATTCTAAATATTTTACATTAAATAAAATGGAGTAAAAATCTTGAGGATTTGGGTATAACATTTGAGTAGTGGTGTCCTGCTCATTTCTGTACCTCTCCCTTTCCTTCTCTCCCTCCCCCATCTTCTCTTTCTTTCTCCCTCTAAGGCTGTTTCTATATCAACCAATTTCAATTCACTGTAAGATTTTTTTTTTTTTAGTAAAACATCAGAGCAAGGAGGGTAACTCCATGGTTGAGCATTTAACCTAGGATGCACTAAGTTCAGGGGTCAGTCCCCAGGACCACAAAAACAGAATCAAAAATTGCTAGAACATTCTTGGAAAGTTGAAGAAGTGAATGCACACTTCTTCCTCTTCTAATGTTGCTGCCACTTTCTCTAGGAAAGTAATTTATTTAATCAAGAAAATATGATTTGATTTTTGTTAATTAGTCAATAAATGTTTTCTGAGGACTTATCAAGTGCTGACCGTAAGCCACACAGGCACTAAAAATAATTGAGATGTGTGGTGTCCTCTGGTAGCTCCTACTCCAGTGCAGTTAATGTTCTAGCAATAAAACCAGAAGCAGAGGGCTGCCCATAGAAGCCCAGAGGCTAGAGAGGACCCAATCCTCTCCCAGGAGAGCTGAAGTGTCCAAGAAACATTTGAATAAGGAAAAGGGAAGGAAGGCATTCTCTAGAAAGGGGAGTGATTGTATGCAGATTGAACAAACACAAGAAATAGGCATGATGGGAAACAAGACCAGAGACTCTCATAGCAAAAGCAAAATGGCCCTGCTCTCTAGAAAGCAAGTGACTGAGAGAAATCAATGTATTTCTACATTGTAGACCCTTTAGAAACATGCTTTTGAGCTCTGAATATCATGATAGTAGTAAAAGAGCACCTGTATTAAGGTTTTTCAGAGAAACAAGATCTGTAGGTTATGTGAAGAGATATTTAGGAGAGCAAGAGAGAGAGATTTCTTATAAGGATTTGGCTCACCCAATTAGGGAGGCTGAGAAGTCCCTAGATTTGTAGTTGGCAAGCCAGAGACCTGGTAGAGCTGATTGTATAGCTCTAACCTGAAAGCTGGCCAACTTGAGATTCAAGAAAAGCCAGTGATTCATTTGATTCCAAAGCCAGGCAAGAGCTGATGTCCCAACTCCAGAGTCAGGCAGGAGGAATCCATGTCTTCTGAAATATACTGGTTGATGCTCACCTACAGAGGAAGGATCATGTGCTTTACTCAGTCTACTGGTTAAATGCTAATCTTATCCAAAAACACTCTCATAGAAACATTCAGAATAACATTTCATCAAATATCTGGGCACCACATGGCCCAGTCACATTGCACATAAAATTGGTCATCATAACACCTCAGTCTTTTACGTATCCAGTGATATTCTTGGATAATTACTAAACTAAATTATCAAAATACCATAACCCCATGACAACTATTTTTTTTGAGAGCCTCACAATACCACAGAAATTCTGAACAATTTCTCTAAGTCATTGGAATATAGGTTGAATATCCTTATCCGAATGCTTGAAACCTGATGTATTTCAAATTTCGTGTTTTTTCAGATTTTAGAATATTTATATATACATAGGTATATACGCCTGTTTTGTTTTGTTTTGTTTAGCATTGATGGATATTGAACCTAGGGGCTCACACATTCTAGGCAAGTGCTCTACCACTGAGCTCTAGCCCTGGCCCTGTTTGTGTAGGGAGAGATATCTTGGGAACAGAACCCAGGTCTCAACACAAAATTAAATTTTGTTTCACAGACACCGAATACACGTAACTGGAAGGCAATTTTATGCAATATTTTTAGTGCACTTGTTTTGATAAGGTCAGATGTGGAATCTTTCACTGGTGGCATCGTGTTGGTGCTAAAATTTAGATTTTGGAGGCTTTCAGATTAGGAATACTCACCCATGTTGCCATCATTGCTGTGATAATTTATTGACATTATTTTCAGAATTGATAGCTAACTCATGATTTTGATTCAGAATATGTTGACATGCTTTGGTGGTTAAGTGCATGTGCTAGAAAGACAGTCTGCCTGGGTTGGCATCTCAGCCATGCCTTTTACAAGCTGTGTAACTTTGAGTATCTAATTTAATTTCTCCATGCCTTTGTATTTTCATTTAGAAAGTGCAGGTATTAATAATACTTAACTCTGTTGCAAAGATTATATCAGTGAATGCACATTAATGAACGCATGTAAAGGTGTTAGGGACATGGAATGTACTCAAGAAATAGTTGTGTATGTAGCCACATACCTATTATTGTAAAATTCTATTTCAGCCTTGGCTCAGTAATGCTTCAATATTGGTTCTTTTTGAGGAAAAAAGTCCTCATCCAAAGCAGTAACATTGACTATACTCAATTAGCGTACACTTTCGATAGACTAAAACCAAAACTTAAAGCCTTAGTTGGCTTGAGAATGACACCAGATTTAGAAAATGAGTTAGAGAGGATGAAATAGAAAGTAACACATTTATAGAATATGCATAGGCAGAGGAGTATTTGATTCATTTCACTACTTCTGTTCTGTTTAGTTTGTTGTAGTCAAAGAAACTGTCCATATTTGAAATGGTTCTTTGGCATCTTAACATTAAAAAACATTTGCAAAGAAACTAGTGTCTTCCAACGTTGGGCACTAATTGAGAAATGCATGATGGTGCTCTTAGTCAGGTCTTGAGTTGGTAGGAATAACAGTCAGATAGATTGGGGCCAAACTGTGCTTGAAATTCACCTGACTGATGGAACAGCACTCTTGGGTAAGTCACTGGGATTCAAATCTCCTCAGCCAGTTAACCAAGCAACCAAAATATCCAGCTCTCCTTTTCTAAATGTGTTATTTCTGATTTGTACTAACAACCACTTCATTCAATAAGTGACCTCATATCTGTTTCAATAAGTTGTTTGTATTACATGAAATATACTTGCTGGGTGATAGTGAGGAAATTCTTTGATTTTCTTTGAGTGAGTGCTTCTGTGTCTTTGGGAAGTTCTTTACTTTTATAATGTCCGTTGATGAGGGTCTTCAAGTCAGCCACTGTGGCTGACCACAGTTTAGAGGCCTTGGTACCTCTGAGTATTTATATAATTTTCTTATGAGGCTAGTAACTCATAGGTGATGGAATGTGATGCCTATAATACTTTTTTTTCTCTTTTAATATATATTCTTTTAGTTTTTGGTGGCATATATGTCCATATCACCATGCACTTCTATATACATCCACAACTGCTCTATTTTAAAAAGTGATTTCCCACATTTTCAAGTTCCCATGCCTGACAAGTCTGTCACTGAACATATATTCAGACCCAGCTCTTTGAAGTTGGCTGTATCTGTCCATTTGTTTATTACCTTGGGAAAATTCTTCTTCCAACTAAAGAAGAATGCTTTTCTTCTTTTTATCAAGTGACTAAAGATAGCAGAGGATTAAGTCTGAATAGAGTGATTACTGCTTTCAAAAAACAAAATCATGAAAAGTATTTTGTTGTTGTTATTGTTGTACTTGGACTATTTGATAGAGTTCCTGCAATTGGACTGCCCCTTAAATTCCCTTTTCCCTCTTATTTCCTAACTTGCAAATTTGTGGGTGAATTTCTATGCATTTGTAATACCTACATTAATTCTATGTCTTCAAAAATTTTAGAAAGGAAAATTGAATCATCATGGCTGTATGTCTTTATTGTTATTCGTGATTATTCTTATATTCATTCTTAGCCATGGGGAGAGTGGTACACGCTCTTTTCAAATATTACTATAAAGTTGATTTTTTTTTTAAACAGAAGGCTATTATGGAGAAGCCAGTTTCAATCTATTATGAAAACTCTGCACTATTTTCGAGAGCTAAACTCCGAATGCACAGAGCTGTGCCTTCTTGTATTTTCCATTATTCTTTTCTTTCAGAAATCGTGCCATTCATTTAATACTTCATTACAACCGAACTGCAATATGTATACATGGCGTGCAAAATGAGCCATTTTGTTTTAAAACAGATTGCAGATGAAAGGAAACCATTCATTTCTTGCTTGCTTGCTGTAATTACTAGAGCACTAATTACTCCAAATCACTGACATCCAGGGTCAATAAGGATGACAACAGAAACATCAAAGAAAAGATGTGGCTTGCTTGCTATGACAGACTTTTTCATATTCCCAGCCATGGTATTTTTTTATGGCTACTGTTTTCCAGTTTGATGGTGAAAAAAAAAAATACAGTCAAGATTGCTGAATGTTTACTATTATTTCATTCGCAGTTTGACGGTGAGAACATGTATATGAGCATGACAGAGCCGAGCCAGGACTATGTGCCAACCAGCCAGGTGGGTTAATTAATCTTCTCTGCCTTGTTTCAAATTGTAATTAAACAAATTCAAAGAGTTGCATTGCAAATGAGTAGCACTATCAGTAACTGCCGCAATCAGGAATAATCATAATTTATAAACAAAGCATTTAAGCCTTGTTTCCAGTTAATGAGATGGAGCTGATAAAATACCAGAGTTGGCATTTGTTGAAAGATGCTACCTTGTTTCCTCTCCAGAACGGCAAGCAGCTGTTTTGCCAGCATGATCTTTCCTAAACAGTTGTTTTACCTTTAGGAAATAAAGTCTTTACAGGTGCAAGTTATTTGTGCTTCTGACTGTAGATGAGTTAATCATTATAAGATACACATGTCACAAATAGCTTTAATTATCGACTACTGGGGCCATTTTCAACAACATGTTATGTTCATCACCAAAATCACAGGGCCAGGGCTGGTGGGCCCTACTGGCAGACTGACTTTAGCACTTTCTGGGGGGCATAGTAGGGGTGTTAGGGAGTGGTTTTGAGGCCCCAAAGCAGCATGTGATTGAAATCTTTCAAGGGCACCTTTGTATCCATTTCAGTGGGAATGGTTGACAAGGCATTTAATCATGAGAAGTGACAACAAATGTCCAATGAGAATGAATGTAAATGGTTACATTTATGAAAGAAAATGCTTGTTTATTTATTTTTGGATACTTAAGACCAGGCCCTTCATCCAGAGAGGGCATTTAAAGCAAAATTATAACTGCCCTGGGGTGCCAGTAAAACATAAAATATAAGAACATTGTAAGCAAAAATAAATGAGTGAATAAATGAGAGGGAAGGAGAGTTCATAGGAGCATTTTGTGGGATGAACAAACTTTTATCTAGAAGAGTGAAACCAGCTTGGGATTTTACATATCAATCACTATAGCATAAACTCTAACACAGTTAAGTAGTTTTCAATGCCTACTTATCTATCTAAATAGATCTGATAACTGGGAGGAGCAGAGGGGGAGAGTAGTATGAAACTATTTTTCTTCATGATGGTTGTCAGGGAGTTAAATCTAATCTACCTGTTGGGGGTATGCTTCTGTAGCAAAATGCCTCATGCTTAACTCAAAACAGACAGGCCTGTATCTCCATGAACTTTGCATTTATTTAGAAGCCATTATGATCACTGCTTTCTCTGCTGGACCTTCTGGACATTACACTATATTGTTCAGCTGAAAAGGTCATCATGAAGCTCAAAGATCTCAAAGCTCAAAGGTTTCCTTCCTTTCAGTTGAGTTGATCGGTCTAAGGCTACCTTTGGAAGGCGAGCTTTTTGCATTTCAAATTCTTACTCAACTGAATTCATGCTGCTAAGTAGTCTCCAAGATCCATAGGTAGTTCTGAATAGAACTGTTTGATTAAAAAATGAAAAATGTTACTATTAATTTTCTTCTACCCATCAGTCCCAAAACTGTACTGACAAGTTTAGTATTACTATTAGATTAAAGCAACCCGGTACCATCTCATCGGTGCCTTTAGGGTTTTGAAGTGTAAGGGCTAATTGAATTTGTTTGAAACAGTAGAAACACAAACTCAATAAATGATTACTGCTATAAAACAGCTGCTCCCTTTCAGAGAATCATTATGTCCATCTTAAAGAGTTTTGGATAGAGGACTGGAAATTCAGAACATATGCATCATAACAACCCAGCTCCTTAGATTTCTAAATTCAAATACAATGGGTGATATTCAGCTCTTACTGAATTCAAACAACTGAAATTATTTTTCTTACTATTTCAGTCAAGAGTTTCTAAGAATGTTTCAAATACCAGTGATAATTTATATAAAAGAAATAAAGAGTTCCAAATACCTTTATGCTTTCTAAAGATATGGCAGGTTTGTGAGCCAGAAGCAAACTATTTTTTTAATAATGCAACATATATGAAAATGTTTTTAGAATGAGCTATTTTAAAAATTAGACTAATGTAAGATAATACATACCCTGGAGGGGAATAAACTCCACAAATTACATAAGTTGAATGGCCCTTGCTAAATTTTTCACTTAACATTCCTTTTGTTTACTGTAATATAGTGTGTTCAAGAATTCATTACCTGGTATTCTTTTAGGAAATTTTAATCAATTTACCCCTTTAGGCAGCCATAAATAAGATTTTAGTCATCCTGCAGGAGAAAGGAAAATAGTTTTGTTCCTTTTCCTACATAACATCAAACATCTGCATAGTTTAGTAATCCAAGACAACTTGCCTCATAGCATCACTCAACAATTATAATTCCTGTTCAATTTTCAAATCAGTACATGCTTTGGGACTTATAGACTAAGTTGCTAAGTAGCAACATATGGTGCACTACTGTTCCTGTGATGTTGCTGCAAGCATATAGCATAATTCTAAACTTGAAATGATTTTTATAGAAAGCCAATGCTGGAACTGCTCCAGAAATGAAAGTACACTGTAAAAATTAATGATATTCTTTTAGATGGTCCCAAAGGGCTCTTTGGCCCTCTCTGCAGCGTGCATTCTATACATCTTAAGCTATGTATACAAATCCTTAATTTTTTTTTTTTGCATATAGCTTTGTAATTGATAGGCAGCTTTTAAATTGAACATACCACTCCATAATAAGACTGACAAATATGTAATAAAAACCCATAACATTTCCACTGTACTCTGGCGCCATTCTTGGAATATTGACTATTCTTCCCTGTAATAGCTATAACTGTGCTGGTCATTTAGTACCTTAAACACCATTTAACTTTTTTTTTTTTATTGCTCTGGATAAAATGTGAACCATGCGATGCAAGATTTCTTTGTGTTTCCAAACCCTGTCTAAAGGGACCCTGTTGCTCATGAACTTTGCAGAATCCTTTTCTATCATTTGTGGGACAAAGTGAGTGGGCTAATGAAAGGCAAGACAGAGGAGAATGAAGGCAACAGCCCCTCAGGGATTCACTCCCTTCTCCTTCTTAATCTGTCGTGTTTGATTGAGGTGATACCCAGGCTAAAAAGTCACAAATGCAGATACACACGATGAACAAGTCTAGAGATCTACTTTGCAACATGAGGACTGCGCATAATAATGTGTTTGGAATTTTTGCTAAATGAGTAGATTTTGGTTGCTCTTGACACACACACACACACACACACACACACACACACACACAAAATAAACAAATAAATGGTAGCTATGTGAGATGATGGATATGTTAATTTACTTCACTATAGTAACCATTGTACTGTCTGTATGGGTCTTACAAAATCATGTTGCATATCTTAAATATATGCAACAAAATTTGTTTTTAAAAATATCTAGACCAGTGTGCTAGAGAGCCTAAGAAGACATAAGGGACTTGAGCTTCCCTACCCCCATGCTATGTTCCCACCAGAATCTTCTTAGCTCATTCAGGTACACGAGCTGTGATCCTCCGCTCTCACTAAAAACTCAAGCCCTTGTCTCTACCCCTAGAGTCTTTATAGCCCCTTCCATAGTTCATCACAGTGACTATACTCAGGTATCAATGACTATCTGAACTAAATGCATCAGAGGAAACAGAAGAAGAGTTCCATTCTCTTCCCTATTTTATTTTTTCCATTTTAGTTTTGAATATGTGACATTACTTTTCCTTATTCTTTCTTCTATGGCAGCTCTGAGACTGGCCTTCTCCACAGCCACCTGTGCATTCTCTACTGCTGTAGCATTGTGCCCCAGTCCTGTGGACTCAGGAAGTCTGTTCTTTCCAGGCCTTCACCTGGAACTGTGTAGAAAGATGGTAGAAGGACTGATCTATTTTTGTTTTTGTTTGGTGCCAGAGGTTGAACCCAGGGATGCTTAACCACTGAGCCACATCCCCAGTCTTTTTTTGTTTGTTTGTTTGTTTTCTTTTGTTTTAATTTTGAGACAGAGTCTCACTAAGTTGCTTTGGACCCCACTCATTTGCTGAGGCTGGCCTTGAACTTTCAATCCTCCTCCCAAAGCCTCCAGAGTTACTGGGCTCACAAGCACACACCACCATGCCTGGCTAGTACTGATCTTTTCTATACAAGAAATGATCCCTTGATAGGAATAAATTAGATGAATTTTCTGATGTTAGGTAATGGAAAAGCTTAGATTACTTGATTGACACAGGTATTTCAATAAATATCTTCCTCCAGGCCTCGGCCCTCACTGTCTAAACCAGTTTCTTCTATTTTGTTTCTTTCTCTCCCTCTTGCTTCCTGCATCCCCTCCCTCCTTTCTTCCTACTTCCTTTCCTTCCTCCTCCTGTGAATGGTTATCCTTAAGCTTAAAGGAATTTTTGCTGTTAATTCCGAGAATCCTAATAAATGCTAAACATTAAATGTCCTGGACTGAGGTCATCATTTAGGTTTTTCTTGGCTCGTGATCGCTTTTCTGTCTGCTTCTTCTCTACCACCAACCTCTACTGGAATTCTATTTCCTACCTGGTTCCTCAAGTCTTGAGATTAAAAGTAACAATGCAAAATGCTATAGTTTGGATAAGTGTCCCCAAAGGTCCATGTATTCGAGGCTTGCTCCAAATAGTGGCACTGTTGGAAGGTGGTGGAATCTTTAGGAAGTGGAATCTGGGGATGTTCTTGAGTCATTGGGAACATGCCCTTGGAGGGGACTGTGGGACCTAGTCCCTTCCTGTCTATCTTTGCACTCCTGACCATGAGATGAGCACCTCCACCATGTGCTCTCCACCTTTGCTATCTGGCAAGCCCACCAGAGGGCTGAAATCAAGGAGTCTGTCCAATCATAGACTGGACACTCTAAAACCACGAGCCCAAATAAATGGTTTCTCTTTATAAGTTAGTTATCTCAGATATTTATTTTGCTATAGAAATGGGAAACTGACTAACACAGTAAGAACACAATGATATCATATCTTCCTGGTATCTCACAAAGGACCCTTTCACATATATTTCCTACGGTACCTTTTGAATATAAAAGTTAATGAGCATCTGTCTATCTAAGGCAGCTCTTTCATGAGTTTCAGGTTGGATTTCTAATCCAACTAGGCACCTGT